AAAACACTATTTTATCAGCAACATAACTTTATCCTTAAATCTTCAAATGGAAAGATGCAGTGTTAAATCCCCATTCATATAGGCAATAATGCAATGGAATTTGCTCCTATCAATTCTTTTATTGAATAAAAAGATGAATAATAAATAAATAAATATATTTATTTATTATTCATCTATATATTAATGTTATTATTATTATTATTTGTTTTTAGCCACATTATCTTTATTATAACAGCAAAAACAAGGCTGAAAATATACTATTTTAATTAATTAGGACTTCATTTTTTATCATAATACAAAATACGATAGCTTACAAAGTATAAAGTATAGCTTCTTTAAAGTTTAAAGAAAAAAATAGCCTCTTTTATCAGAAAAATAGGCATTTGTTATATCATTCTCTACATCTTTGTAGAGCATTCAAGTTCAACTTTTTTCTAGTCTGAACAACTAAATGCAGTTATTTCTACAGCTTTGAAAAAAAATAAAAACCTTTTCTCAATCTTCGGACCAGGAAAAAAATGGCTCTTTGTATTTTTTTAATAGAAAATTCAATATATTTTTGTTTAAAAAAAGTATACTTTAGAAGCAACTACACTAAAAAAATGAAGCAATTTTTTACTTTATAATACAAAACTTCATTTTTTTTCTATAGTTTATATAGAAAATACAGCTTTATTTTTTGAAAAACTAACCATTTTTTTAATATTTTATCTCATAAAAAATAGCATTTTTTTAAAAATTTAATCTGTTTTTTCAATAAGTTACATTGATACAGTCTATTAATGAGTCATGATATCTTTAATAGTAGAAAAACTATGACTAATTATTAAACTGTATCATTATAAAGAACACTTTAAAACAAAAATATAGCTTACTTTATGTCTACATACTAAAATACCACAATTCTTTATATATCTTTCTAATAAAGAAATAATGATTTTTCTAAAAAGTACAGCTTTATGACAGGAGAAAAATGCATCTTGCTTTAAAATAACTATTTTTTTTTTTTTTAACATATNAAACGAATTAAATATTTCCTCTGTTAAAACAAGGGTCCATTATGGTTCATAAAATGTAAGAATTGTTTAATCACATATTAATCCAAATGTGTTTGACTGTATAAGTGTCTCACGTTTTTTATTGGTGCGGTGTGTCTTATGTGAAATGATAGTAGCATAACTTTTGTTAATTATATTATTAAAAATGATGATATCAAAATTATATTTTACATACCACAATAGGGAGCAACAGAAGTTTTCTTTTATTATGAGCCTAAATTTTTGGATATTTTTAAACAATGCTGTGTTTACGAGCATTATAATATATATATATATATATATATATATAAAAAATAATAACTAAAGTAAAAAAATTCAGCATCCTTGAACTACATCAAACTGGTCTGTGTTAGAAGTAAAAGGATACATTGTAACTAAATTTTGCTTTCTTTGAAGACTGTTTACGCCTGTTTAATGCATCTTAACGTTAACAAAATCACTAGTGAAAGGTGAGGTGATTAATTATCTGAGACGACAGCTCTAGTTCTGGTTCCACAAATAAAAAAAAAAATAAAAAAAAACAGTCATGAAAAAAAACAACACGTAAGAATAGGCGTTTCGCCGATACGTAAGTAGTGAAAACTAGAAGATGCTGATGATTCAGGAATGCGGCACGACCAGTTATCAGGAGTCTTGCAGTCGGCTACTATACGAAGATACTTAGAAAATACATGTAAAAAAAACACACCAGGTTATAAAAATACGACACGTACAGTACAATGTCAAGACTTATCGAGTGGGAGGTTGAAGATAACTTTCTGTGATGCTCTCGTACAAAGTCTGAATGGTCTGGATTCATATTTAATATCTATGTTTGCCTACGAGTGTTATTACTGATACCACTGATCGAAGGTGAATAACAAGTTTAGTAAACTAAATATACGTGAATTATACTGATTCTGATAGAATGAAAAGTATTTTTATTTGTATATCGCGTTTTTACGTGTATTTTTTTAATCGTTGAATATAGTATAAACGATTTGTTGAGCTCGTATGCAAGCAGTTTTTTTTTTTGTTCTGTTGAACATTTCAATTCTCTTCAAGTTTATAGGAAACATAAAATGTTCAACAAATGTTAACTATGCACTATTTAAATCCATACGACGAAAGATAATTAAGAAACAAACGTAATTATCAATTCAATTGACGCGACAAGTTCCACGTGAATATTTTTAACGCATTATTTGTTCATGAACACGTGAAAGAACTAATTACCTTTCTATACACGAAAGGATATTATTCGAAAAACGTCACAGAAGAAGGACGATGCGGTTACATCATAAATATTTGTCATAAACATCGAGTTTTCGTTTCATAAATCAAAATTACGAGAGAGTATCGTTTCCGATCATCAATGGAAACAAAATAAAAAAGAGAGAAAAAAATGGAACAAATGTTGAAACCAAACGGTGGTTTATAATGTCGAAAGGTAAGCAGATCCGTTTCTGTTTAATAAGAATTGCAAATCCGACATTTTTCTACACAAACAGTTCTGTTTACTCGTTTCGGTCTGTCAACAGTTCTGCATGTAGATAACAAGTAGAATTTTTAAATATAGATTGTAAACGTAACCATAATTTAAAACACACAATATTAAATGGAATTAAATGTCTTTTCTTCATTCCTAATGTTAAATGTTTAACCAGTTGGACACCAACATTCGTTGTATGATATTGAATATGCTTATCTACCAGTATACGAAACTGTACTGTACATAGCTGTATGATTATGTCTTCGGCTTTTGAAACAGAATTGGATCTTTGTACAGTATAATTCCCCCTTCTAAATGTATGTTATTTGTATAAAATAAGAAGAGTATGGGATGTTCCCACACACAGCCACAGCAAGTTAATTCTCTACCGTTTTAAAGGATACCAACGGTAGGCACGGAGATGGCATAAAATTTGATATGCATAAATCATATTCTCCCCCTCGACTTGGCCAACTTTGACCGCTATGCCATCATATCCGGTAAGGCAACAGATGTCGAACAGGAAGCAGGTGACGTCGATCTACATCTGTACTGAGAACAACAGTCCTTTAACAAAGAGGCTCTTGGTCAGTATCGAAATTTTCAACACAGGCGGCCGTTGTAACCCCCCTTTTTTTTATATTTTGAATGAAGATTCTATGAGCTCCGGTTTCGGTGGCGGATAATTGATAGAAGAAATTCATTACACAAATTAAGATGTATATCGATTACAGTTAATGTACTTTTACAGTGCCGAGTGACATCACAACGTTCCGTTAGTTACTAGTCCTGTTATGTTGGTGTATTTTAGGTGTAATTTAAATTTAAATGTACTGTAAGATAAACATAATTTACATTAAACATCCAATTAACTTGATGCTAAATAGAATAATCATGTTCATCACAACTCATGTACCGTATTCGTTATACAGAAGACCATCCTTTAGTCCCTAACTGACGCGTGTAGTGTCCAAAATACACAAGTAAAGTAGCAACTAGATTGTGTGCGCGCAGTTGAACACGACATACATCATATATTTTTGTGTGACTCAAACCATTTCCTTCCAGTTGAACAATTACAAATTCTATAACCTTCCACGAAGAGACTTCATAATTTTTCAATTTGCAAACGGCTAATTACGAAAATAGAATGTAAAAAAATAACCAAGGGGTTCGAAAACAATAAGATAGACGACTCTCGACCTATTCGGGAAGTATTTAGACACTTGAAAATTCGTGACCACGCATATGTCACGCAATGAAAGAATTGGAAAGAAATAGCTTTAAACGCTTTATTAGCTCGTTTCTAATGCTAGAAAGGAATAAATTTAAACGAAACACGGCTCCCGAAGACATTTTCGGCCCATTTAGTACCCCTCCTTAATAAATTTCCAACGTATCTTTTAAGGGAGAGAGTACGTGGTGGGGAATATTCACGCTTAATTTATTCGTTAACGTGAGTAGAATCGGCACAACGGTCACGAATTTCGAAGTGTAAAAATTTCCATTTTCATTCTTTTTAATTCGCATTACAATGGAGAAATGGAAAAAATTCATTTAAAGGCGAGTACGAGAGCCATAACGAACTTTGTTAAGAGAGAAACAATAGGAAGCACGCTTCAACAGCGTACATTGGCACCGTTGGTAGTTAAAGAAAAGGTCTTGCTCTTGTAAACGGTGTTTGTCACGCAGTTTGTACAGATCCGTTAATAAGATATGCGTGGGAACACCGGGAAATTAAGCAAGACGTCACACATAAATCAATCGACGAACACCTGTTTATAGTCTTTACTCGGTTTAACGCGTTAATTACATACCCGTTTTACGTTTGTACGCGTTATTCGATTCGTTTTGCGTATTTTTCGTTAAGATTACTTACGAATGGATAATCATTCTTCACGAAAATACCCTTACAACGTTGTTAAAACGAGCTATTTTTTCGGTTTTTGTAAACGTTAAAGCGTTATTTGTACAGTACAGTACGTAAGCCATAGTAGTAAGCTATTTAAAATAGAGAACTTTTTACTTCTGTTACTACGTACAAAATTGAATATTGTATTGTAGTACGTGTACGATACAGTATGTTAGATGGTAACACAATATTAAATAATGTAGGACTATTTACCGTATTACACGTAACACAACTTAGAACTATCCGAAAATATATTGGATCGTAAAGAAATACATAAATAATACAATAAATTATACAAATATACGAAAATAAAATACATATTTTGCGGTTAGAGAGAACAGCGTATTGTTATATCAAGAGAAATGTATTGTTTTAGACAAAAATCGATGAATTAATCGGGTACAAAACGTGTACAAGAGCCTGAATAAAGGTCGCGTTATAGAATTTGAATGAAATTGACAACGGTAGAGTATAGACGAAAACCGCGACTTCACACACATATGCCAGTAGTGTTAGATAAGACACGGGAAGTAGTATGGAGTAGAATCAACCTACACACCTTTAAAAATGACGACAAAGGTATCCTTAATACTGGAGTCGATAGACGAGGAACAAAGCTGGGATGGACGCTGCCGGACATGTTGTACGTTAGAAGACTGAGGAAAAAAAAAAAAAAAAAAAAAAGGCCAACTACCCTATAAACGCCTGCGGGAACATAAACTGGACTATGTTACGATGTCGCTACAGACAGACCACTTGTTAGATTACTCGGACGTAGTTCCCATCACACCTTCTTCCAACGGAAATGGGGTCAAACACTCATATAACGCCACCTAGGCGATTTTGTATTGTCGTCGCAAGATGGCGACACACACACAGACACACTACTTACCTGTACGATCGTAACGGTCGATAGATGGCGGCGCCGTCTATTCGCTATAACGTTTTTTTTTTTTTTTTCCTTAATCTCTATTCGTCTCGCTAGATGGCGTCGTCCGTCTTCTTGTCTCCTACAACTCTCAAGAGGGGAGCTGCTGTATATTTGTTTTTTTACGAACAGAAAAAAATGGTATGACGTAAAGAAAAAAATGCTCGAGGAAATAAAATAATGAAGCAGTAAAATGATTTTAAAAAATTACTAAAAATTACAAACGTCAATCAAATTTAATAGAAAACGAGAGAATAATTTTTCCGTATAAAAAGAAATTTTAGAAAAATAATTACAAAGTTATATGACTCATACAATTTAATTTGACGAAGAGCACGAATAAGAGATGCATTGTGCTGGGAGGGAAACAATAAAAATTGTTAAAGTAAGGCGATCAGACAGATAGACTCACTACGTAAGAGGTCAATATACGAACTTATTGATCAACTTTACAATTTTATTCCCTGTTCTAGGAATATGGAGAATGTCAAAAGTGCATGAGCGATGCAGCAAAGTCAAAAAAATAAATAAATAAATAAAAATAACACTAAAACTAAAAGAATAAATATTTTAAACAGTTATAAATCTATTTTAAAAATACGTTCTTAAACAAAAGACTTACCAGCTTTAAATTTTTGTAATAATATGAACCGTTTAGTATTAAATTACTTGACGATTTAATATTAATAACGTCACAATATTCAATTCTAGTGTAGTGGAATGAGAAATATAATAGGTCGATACGACTAAGCACCAATATACATCGCGATACAATGCACGTTTATAGATAAATTTTCAGTATAAATAAACTCTAATATCATTTTTTAAATACCGCAAATAGTAGGACTTTATCCTCTAATGAGATATAAAGGACGTTGGTATTTGTTAATTAAGAAATATACGATCGAAGTGGTATATAAATTGAGGTTACGATATGGGTTAACAGCTGGAAGTTGATCGGTTAATTGTCCCAAAAGGATACATATGTAAAGAAATGTAAAGAAAGTAACCGCTTATCGTTCATCTTGAAATGGTTTAATTAATAATATACCAAACGTAATGACTTTCTTGTAGTGTTATCTGTAAATATATTTCCTAGCAATAGTGTTTCTTAGTGATAACAGTGCTTATATTATTACTTTATAAGTTATAATGAAGTGTTTTTTTCCCCCTCTCAATTACAAAAAGGTTTTGTATGAATTTTTGTAGAATTTCCTCAAACATAACTAGTCATTACATAAATAAATAGTTCAATCGCTTTACAGATAATGTTCTTAGAAATTCAAACCGGTTTTTAATGCAACTAATCCTTTAAAAATGCTCGTAAAAAGTATACATTAATACAAAAAAAATTACGCATAATCGATTGTTTTTCTTCAGAAAATCATTCGGATAGGTCTTTTCCTTAAACATTTCCTCAAACGGATTGATATTAAACTAACCTAAATAATTAAATCGTGATACTAAAACATTAAAGTGAAAATCTTAAATTATTAGCTCTAAAGTCAGTTAACTCTAAAGGTTAGCTCTAAAGTCAGTTAACTCTAAAGGTTAGCTCTAAAGTCAGTTAACTCTAAAGGTTAGCTCTAAAGTCAGTTAATTTATCTCTAAAGTCAGTTAACTCTAAAGTCAGTTAATTCTTAGCTCTAAAGTCAGTTAACTCTAAAGGTTAGCTCTAAAGTCAGTTAACTCTAAAGGTTAGCTCTAAAGTCAGTTAACTCTAAAGTCAGTTAATTCTTAGCTCTAAAGTCAGTTAACTCTAAAGGTTAGCTCTAAAGTCAGTTAATTTAGCTCTAAAGTCAGTTAACTCTAAAGGTTAGCTGTAAATTCAGTTAACCATAATAAATACCTAAACTGTATTCGTATTCATATATTAAAATACTTAACCCACCTGAATATTCCTTCTAATTAATCTAAATCTCGCTTGTTAGTAAGGAGATTGTAATTCAAATATTACTAAATTAATTATTGAACTTATACAATTTTCAAAATATTCGTAATGAAATTCTAAAATAAACAAATACAGTGACTAATTTTAAAAATATATATATATACGTGTTGAATAATTATATTTATTTAGTTTAAATTCCATTTCAGTAGATAGTTTGAATATTTATAGAATTATTATAGAGATAAAATTATTTTGGTAGGCGATAGATAATAAATGGAAGTCGTTTGGGCCATATGGCCCTCCCTCTCTGAGATATCAAGAAACAATTTTGGAAAAATATTACGCCAAAGAAAACGTTAGTGATTTTAATTTTATTTATTTATTTTAATTTTTATTGCATTTACTTTTTCTCTCCCCCTCTCTCTCTCTCACGAACTTTAAATAGTTTTGTTTAAGTTTCTGAGAAATTCTAATTTAGAAACCGATTCTCCTTCCCCCCCGAGAGATTTAGATCCTGCCGACAACTTACGTCACGTCCTGTTTGTAATATATTTTTTTTTTTTTTAAGGAAAATAAGTCAAAAAGAATTAATATTTGTCGAAATTTCGCTTTTAAAAATTTATATCTTAACAAAAATTAAATCGAAATCGAATTTCTTTTCTTTAGTTTCGATTATATCTAATTACTTTCTATTTACTAAATTGTATAAATTTTCATTTTATTAGTCTCATATTATTTAATTTTCTACGCAAAATGTTTCATTTAATTTATTCGTTTTATGAATTTGCTGGTCGCCATTTAATTAAATGAAAGCCACAAAATCTAAAACTTTCATTAAGTAAAATATTTTTCGATGCCGATTCAATTTCTATTTTCCGATTTCATTCGGTCAATTTGTTAATTTACTTTATTTATTTCATTTTATTTAGAATATTTCCGTTTTATTTTCATTTTTTCCCCTCAAAATTCGTCCATTTTTTTCGGTGATTCACGTCAGTTCCATTTAAATTGTTTTTTTTAATACGTTGTCAGTTCTGTTCTTGCTTCTAATCGATCACTCTCGTGTGTTGAATTATCAGTTTCGTCTAATTGTTCACACTTAACTCCCAAATATTTAATCTCATCTCATTTGTTTAGACAATATCCAACCATTCATTATAGATTTCTTCAAATAAAAGTGTTAAAATCGATTATTTATATACTGTAATTAACGTAGAGTAGATAGTATCTATAATNGTCAGTTAATTCTTAGCTCTAAAGTCAGTTAACTCTAAAGGTTAGCTCTAAAGTCAGTTAACTCTAAAGGTTAGCTCTAAAGTCAGTTAATTTATCTCTAAAGTCAGTTAACTCTAAAGTCAGTTAATTCTTAGCTCTAAAGTCAGTTAACTCTAAAGGTTAGCTCTAAAGTCAGTTAACTCTAAAGGTTAGCTCTAAAGTCAGTTAATTTATCTCTAAAGTCAGTTAACTCTAAAGTCAGTTAATTCTTAGCTCTAAAGTCAGTTAACTCTAAAGGTTAGCTCTAAAGTCAGTTAACTCTAAAGGTTAGCTCTAAAGTCAGTTAATTTATCTCTAAAGTCAGTTAACTCTAAAGGTTAGCTCTAAAGTCAGTTAATTTAGCTCTAAAGTCAGTTAACTCTAAAGGTTAGCTGTAAATTCAGTTAACCATAATAAATACCTAAACTGTATTCGTATTCATATATTAAAATACTTAACCCACCTGAATATTCCTTCTAATTAATCTAAATCTCGCTTGTTAGTAAGGAGATTGTAATTCAAATATTACTAAATTAATTATTGAACTTATACAATTTTCAAAATATTCGTAATGAAATTCTAAAATAAACAAATACAGTGACTAATTTTAAAAATATATATATATACGTGTTGAATAATTATATTTATTTAGTTTAAATTCCATTTCAGTAGATAGTTTGAATATTTATAGAATTATTATAGAGATAAAATTATTTTGGTAGGCGATAGATAATAAATGGAAGTCGTTTGGGCCATGTGGCCCTCCCTCTCTGAGATATCAAGAAACAATTTTGGAAAAATATTACGCCAAAGAAAACGTTAGTGATTTTAATTTTATTTATTTATTTTAATTTTTATTGCATTTACTTTTTCTCTCCCCCTCTCTCTCTCTCACGAACTTTAAATAGTTTTGTTTAAGTTTCTGAGAAATTCTAATTTAGAAACCGATTCTCCTTCCCCCCCGAGAGATTTAGATCCTGCCGACAACTTACGTCACGTCCTGTTTGTAATATATTTTTTTTTTTTTTAAGGAAAATAAGTCAAAAAGAATTAATATTTGTCGAAATTTCGCTTTTAAAAATTTATATCTTAAAGAAAATTAAATCGAAATCGAATTTCTTTTCTTTAGTTTCGATTATATCTAATTACTTTCTATTTACTAAATTGTATAAATTTTCATTTTATTAGTCTCATATTATTTAATTTTCTACGCAAAATGTTTCATTTAATTTATTCGTTTTATGAATTTGCTGGTCGCCATTTAATTAAATGAAAGCCACAAAATCTAAAACTTTCATTAAGTAAAATATTTTTCGATGCCGATTCAATTTCTATTTTCCGATTTCATTCGGTCAATTTGTTAATTTACTTTATTTATTTCATTTTATTTAGAATATTTCCGTTTTATTTTCATTTTTTCCCCTCAAAATTCGTCCATTTTTTTCGGTGATTCACGTCAGTTCCATTTAAATTGTTTTTTTAATACGTTGTCAGTTCTGTTCTTGCTTCTAATCGATCACTCTCGTGTGTTGAATTATCAGTTTCGTCTAATTGTTCACACTTAACTCCCAAATATTTAATCTCATCTCATTTGTTTAGACAATATCCAACCATTCATTATAGATTTCTTCAAATAAAAGTGTTAAAATCGATTATTTATATACTGTAATTAACGTAGAGTAGATAGTATCTATAATGAAGACTACTTCTTTTCTTACTACCATTATCGTGTCAATGATTAAACATAAGCATTATCTTATATTATATTACTGCAATTAAGAATAGGAAAACAATAAAGTGACTATATACAAAACTCTATTAAATTTCTAGGTTCTAGACAAAATAAACGTAGAAGTCTCAAGTAACGGCTGTGTTTTATAATTTAAAGAATGAACAATGAGCCAGACAGAATGCATACATAATAATACCTATTTTTAATAAAAAGAAATCTTAAATAGTATTTTCTGTAAGTAAAAATCACTACGATTTCCTAAGTTTTCTTCAAGGAAAATTCCCAGCTTCTTTCCTCTCGATGACGTGGATTCAAGGTGTCATTGCTCATTATCTATTTATTCGGCATTGTGTTTTCCGAACTGAATTTTGTGATCTGTAAGGGGAAGTGATTTAAAATGATTATTTAGAGTTGTTTATGAGAACAGTGCTGTTAGCTGCCTGCGTGTTAGAGATACAGTAGAACCCCTCTAGTCCGTCCTCGGCTAGTCCGTCACTCCGGTTAATCCGACCGTGGTCAGAGTCGAGAAACTTGTCCCGACTCGTCAGTGACTCACCGTCCATGGCGTTTTTCTGTGTTCGTTACAGTATATGTTTTAAATTGTGTGTACATGTACAGTTTTGTGTGTGTTTTCAACGTGTCAGGAGTGAAACGTAAACACGTTACTCTTTCATTAAATGAAAAATTAGCAGTGCTACAAAGACTAGACAAAGGGGAAGATTGTTTATTTTACTCTTTTCTGATAATCCGACCTTTTTTGCGTTCCGACCATACCCCCAGTCCCAAAGGTGACGGATTAGAGGGGTTCTACTGTATTCGTATTCGCTGAACGTATCTATAATAGTAATAATTCTTTGCTTACATAAACTATATATATATATTTTTTTCGAATATGTAAGGGACTGTCCATAAATTACTTCCATATTCTTCATGAAATCTTTACTCCCTCTATTGTCCCAGTTTGTCCAAGTTTCCGTAACCTCCTCTCCTCTTCGGACGTACAATAAAACTCAACCCTCCTCAAAACTTTTATCACTTTATGAATAAATAAAATGCATAAACTGTATAAAATTTAATGAAATAAAACGGACGTCCATTGATATTTAAACTAGTAATGCGACAAAAGAGACATTTGACAATGGCCACTATCGGCCGCCATCGGGATTTAGCCACCTGCGTGCCTGCACCCACTGCACACCTGTATGAGAATGTCCGAACCGAAAAATGGTATTGTTTTTCGATTGAATCTGTAAATTATGAGCAGACTGCTGGGCTTCTTGAAGAATTTGTCCTTTGTTCTTTAGAGCCTATAGTGCTTAGCCCTTTCTTTGACATCAGTCAAGATTACGTTTATGGTCTCACATAGTAAGAGGATTCCTCTAAGATATGGTATAGAAACTATTGATAATACCTTGTTGTGTTTAAAATTAATTTAGATTTCAAATAACACTTGTAAATGAGTTTAAAATAACCTTGCCAACGATTTAATCTTTACAACAGTTAACTGACTTTTGAGCAACCCTGTATTATTTTTTTCTATTAATTCTAAGAATACTCTGATATTAGATCCCTAATTGTAATATTTTATTCTCTTTACTCAATTTACTTGATATATAATACATATATTACTTAAATCTAAGAATTTGAAACGATTATAAACGCAAATATCATATGAACAAAATATATAACTTTGATTACGTCACGGTTACCTTTGAACTATCTCTTTGTGTAATCTAAATGAGCATACACTCCTGCAGAAAGCGGATAATCATTGGTAATAAAATGATTATAATGAAAGCAATTAAACGTCCGTCGATACGTGATGCGGCTGTAAACCTCTATCATTAGTAATATCTTCACGTTGTTTGTACTGTACTTTCGTAATACTTCTATCGATTGTTAATCCTGCCCTATTTATTCCGGTTTATAATGATTTAAAATAAATTAATGCTCCACCACTCCAAGTCTTAAATTGAAGGGACGTCCAGTATGTTTGTCATTAAATCTCAATTTATAAAAGAATAAAATTAATTATTTTTTTGTATATTTACTGTAAAATTGCAAATAAATTAATTAATTAGATATTTTTGCAGCTATTGAACAAAGGAGTGAATGGAGATAAAGTATAAATTTTGTTTTTTTCTCTATTTAACAAGCTTCTAATAGAGAAAAAACAGGTTCCAAGCATCTTAAAGGTTCCTTAAAAATCTTTAGAACTTGTGAATCCTTACGTTCCTAGATACATCTCAGATAAATGTATGGGTAAATACAGTACATATAAGTACTAATAGATATAAAATGAGCTTACAAATAAGCAGGCTACGTATTAGGTACATAAATAGTTATGTAATGGGTACGTAAATCCTAGATTTCCTAATAAATTTAAAGACATTTAGTCTTTACAACAGTTAATTTATTTTTGAACCACTCTTTTAATCACATATATAACAATATACGCTATATATATATAGGGCCTATATATAAAAGTTTATTTGAAAAATCAATAACTCAGTCCTACCAGGTTGTCTGTCTGTCTCTGTCTATCCATCGTCTATCCAGATCTATATCTAATTATATCTATTTTAATTAAAAAATGGATCAATAAATCAGCTTGATTTTAATCTTAACTATTCTTCAAATTCTTATAAAAGAGCATTTTAATTTTCAATGATATTCAATTTCGTATGGTAGAATTATTTATGTATTCATCTTACAATAACGTCGTGTCGCATCCTGTCGCATCCTCCGCATCGCAATACGATGCGCTGCGTTTACAATACGTCGCATCGATATGTACCAAAATCTATGATTATTTAAGGAGATTTCATTATATAATATAAAATTACGTACAATTTAATGTTAAACTAAAGGTAATTCTAAGTTGAGATTACATTAACTTGTACAGTGCTTTATACAGAAAATATGTGATAGAAATACTTTAAGGAACTGGTTAAGTATTTTTTTGGCATTGATTAAAATTAAATCAATTAGTTGCATACTTATACTATTATCTAAATGGGTGTACATTAGTTAAAAATGAAGCGACTCGTTAAATATATCAAAAACAAACAAATAGGAACAGCATTTTTGGAAAGTCAAGCATTTTGGGAATCAAAAAAGAAAAAAAAATTAACTTTTTCAAGGTCGATACTAACATAATAGTGTGTGTAAGAGAATGTTTCGTTTTCTTAAACAAAATAAAGGCACTTAACCAAGAAACAGGGAATGAGGGTGATAAAAGAAGCAAACAGAAAGTGGAAAACACGTCAGCACGGTTCTATCCACTAGTACTAAAGATGAGAATAACAAAATGTCGTCTAAAAGTAGAATCGAAGTACGCAGGTCTTGGCCAAGGTAAGAGAAAAGTTGAGATAGAACACGATTTTTATCGGCATTTAGATTAGTTGACCAGGATGGAGAGACCACTTTTCTATCGACTTCCTAAAGACATCCAAAGAGAAGATGAAGTCGTTAATGGACAGGTGAGACCAGAAAATAACCAAAAATCGACAAAAATATATATCGTTTTTCTCGGATTATTTAAGCATAAAAAAAAAAACGATTCGGTGGCCGAAATTACCATTACGGTATCGCTACGAGTTTAATAGAAGTGTTAGCTTCTCCTCAAAGTAACGATGCTATGCTGGAAAGCCGACATAATCCGATGAATTCGGGTTTCTATTTAAAAAAGAAAAAGAAAAAGAAAGAAAGTTCTTTGGCTTTTAAAAAAAAAAACTTTGAATTTAATATTATTTTTCCTCGGTTTTTAACTTAATTAAATGCGTTAATTTTGTTTAGAAATTAAATAGACGAACGTAACGTAGTACATAAGTTATCTTAGTTTATATCGAAGCTGCGTATACAAAGCGTAGGAGAAAGCGCCATAATTATGTACTTAAAAATTGCCTGTAAGGGCGTATAAGTTAAATATCGAAAGTGAGAACGGAAAGGAAACGACAAGAAGTTTCTATTTTCGTCCAAGGACCAGGAAAAATCAAAAGAGCTAGAGAAGCGACGTGGTAGCGACATAGCATATACGAGCGAACGAAAGTCAAGAAGACTCCAACTACACCTCTACTCCACGTCCAAAAATCTCATATTTGAGGTGCGGGGGTGATGCTCTAACACGAAATTTTGCCAGACATCAGTGATGACATGAGCGTCGTATCCGTAAGTCTACGTAGAGACGGCCCAGGTACAGCCTGGGGTTTCCGACTACAGGGAGGTAGAGATGTTGGATGTCCATTGACAATACAGAGGGTAATACTTGTTGATATTTACTTTTTTATCTCTATTATCTTATAAAAATATTATTATATTTCTCTAGCTTTTTTTTGCGTTTTAGGAATCTTCTTCTTCTTCTTCTTCTTTATGCTAATTCAAAACTCGTAAATAATTATTATTACATATAAGTAAATTATTAATTTTATTTTTTTTTTTTTTTGATAAATTAAATTTTAGTGAAAATTTTATCCGAGAGATGTCGCCACACTTCGTTATTGTATTTAATCTTTCATTCATAAAATTAAAATTATTTTCTTATAAAATATTACGTAATTGATAAATAAATTCGTCGTTTTTTTTAAACGTTATTTATTAATTCATAATAAATAATGTATTAGAGATTGTTAATCGTAAAGCATGGACGAAATGTCACGCGCGTCAGTGTTGCCAAAAATATAGAGGTAGAAACGGGGGATAAACCCCCGTCGCCGCCGCCGCCACTTGTGTACAAACACAGGTTGGGGCGTAGGAGTCGAGACTTTTCGAGAGGATACCCCACCTATTTTCGGGTTTTCAGTCGGATAAAAGCACACATGGCCAAATAATGCACTGAGTAACACGAGATTGGCACGTTTATGGCGCCTGCGCTACGTAATCCAATATGAAGTGGGTTGATAGTTGTCTGGCCACTTTCCCACTAGATCTGGATTAATCTTTTATAATAAATAAACAGATTATCATCCCCTGTGGAAGATTTTGTATAGATTCATGCCATCTTGAGTCGCCATTAAAAACAAATCTAAACTAAATTTATTACAAATTTAAATAATAAAGTAAAATTTTATAAAATTAAATTAGGTATAAAATTTTATTATTAAAATATTATAATATTTTAAATTGGTCTTGTCATCTATTTTACAGTAATTTGAACTATTAAATAATTTCTATTTATTAATTAAGCCTGTTAAATAGATTAACGAGTTCAAGAATCCTTTCACATTGTTTACAGATGGTTTAATGATCCTTTCAAATTAAATTTTAAATTTTCAATGTTAAAGATGGTAGGATCTTTACGAATTAATTCTTCTCTTTTAAAATAAGGATTTATTTTAATAGATCTTACCATAGACTTGGACCCATAAAACCTTCCCTAAGTCATAATACTCTATTGTTTGTTTATTATACAATACAGTCGACCCCCTATAACACTGTTATTTCGTTTTATATGAATTCCATGTTGTACGAGTCACTTAGATTTTACAAAATACGTGGCCGGGCTGTGAACGGCTCACTTATTTGTAAAATCTAAGTGACTCGTATAACATGGAATTCATATAAAACGGAATAATCAACAGTGTTATAGGGGGATCGACTGTAATTGTATGTTAATTTACATTTCTTAGTTTTTAATTTATTCCCAGTTAATTATTAATTAAATTAATCAATTAATTAACAATTTAATTTAATATTAATTTATAAATTCTATAATTTATAATATATTAACATTGAAATGTCATTCCTCCTATACAATAGAAACTCATAAATTATCTTCGTAATTATTAAATGTAATTAGTAAACATAATTAAAATTACTTAACAAGATAAAAAACAAATAAAAAGGGGGAAAATTTTCTAACAAATGGTTATTTTTTTTTTCACCCTTAAACTATAAGTACAAGAACGAACGTAAAAGGTCTGAAAATAGCATAAGCTGTCTGACCTCGAGTGCTGACTAAAGTTTTCACAATAACCGTGAATCACAGGAAAGATTTTGGATCTGTTTCAAACATTCTAGCTTGAAATCTTCCTCCCTCCCTCCCCTCCACGATTCCTTCCATCTTTAGTTGAATGTTTGGGTTCCTTCGAGAGTTAATTACCGAAATTATTTAACCTGTTATACAATAAAAAACGAATGCTCCAAACTAGATCTTGTGTTTAGAAGGGGGTATATATATATATATATATTTTTTTTTTCTTAGGAAAAATGGAAGTATTTGTCTCATCCATCAAGTCTTCTACGTGAGTAACCATAGGATTAATATGTATGAACACACAAGAGTTGTCTCACAGATATGGTAATAAAGATTATTTTGGCAGATAACCGAGGAGAAAAACAGAAAAGAAATATATCGAGTTATATTAAATTTCAACGGAATTTCTTCTACAAACAGTGGTGTTGCCAAATAGTTTTATTTTTTAGTTTATTCTCTGTTCGAATATTTAGATAAAATATGTCTCTGAAGACTTATCCCACGCGTGGATCCATAAGTATACTGTAGTTTCTAATACAGATATTTACATATAAACATATAAGTGAGACATTTGGCCATGAGAGAAGTTTCATCATTAGTTGTAAATCATCATAACGTAAGAAACTGTTTGGCATTCGGTTTGCTTTAAGTGTAGAATGCCAGAATAATCTCACTCAACACAGCTCTTTAAGTCGTTAAAAATATCTGAATTTAAAAGATTGTATTATTAATTAACCTTCCGTTCATCACCAAAGAAAATATCAGAAAATTTAATAATTCTACTGATTTAGATTAGAAGATATCAGTTGGAAAAAGATAAATAATCAAAGGAATTGTCTTGTTATGAAGAGTTATTGTCATATTTTCAGACAGCAGAAATTCTAGGCATAGGCTTTTAAAAAGGCCTCAAATATTTACTAAAAAAAATGATCAAAGGGTTATAATAAAATTCATTTATTTTCAGGTGTTTCTCGGATCGCCCTCGGAAGGGGAAATTCAGAGAGGTGACGTCTTATTGCAAATCAACAATAAAGATGCAGGAAAACTCAGTCACATGGAAGCACACGATATCATCAAGCATGCCGGCAATAACTTGAACTTAGTAGTGCATAGGTAGAGATCTTCGTTTGTTTATTTTTATTATTTTTTCTTTTTTCTAAAAAGATTATCCTAGAATAACATAACTATGGATAATTTTTACACCTTCCAGCTGTTTCGTAAATCATTTACGACATATTGCAATCTAAATATATAACTCTTGAAATACGATTTATGCCAAGGACTAGGCCGATATCTTGTTAGCTGTTTGTCTACTATTATTACGAAGATAAAACATTGTGTTCTGGCCAATGTTATTGGCACCTTCTTTCGTTGCATCACCTACGACACGTGTGCCAATTTTTTGGGATTACTTTAAATGTTATAATACCAGCCAGATTACTAGATAAAAAGCTATTTTTCTTTGTTTTATTTTCAGATCTGGTATTGCGTCTTCTCCTGGAATTACACCTACTACACCACCCTTCAAGCCTACTGGACATCCTTTGGCTAACGTTAAACCCCTCCCCTCTTCCGGTATCAAACCAGGTATCCCTTCGGCTCCCAAGTTATTCCAACCGGTAGCACCTCAACCCTCTCAAAATTCCAATCTTCCTTGGGTCAAGCAACCCGGCTACGTCCCTCCTCCTACGAGTGCCAAGATACCTACTTTTTTCCCCACTCCGCAGAACTTCGTAGAAGTGGAGGAGCAAGAATTTTATAAAGAGAATACAAGAGAGAAACAAGCGATTGTTAATCAAGTGCGTGAATATTATATATCTTTACACAATCAAATCTCGATACAGTACACTAAATCAAGTGTTGCGATAATCCGAAATACTCAAAACAATGCGATATAAAGTCCATTGGAAATAGGTCTATTCATTAGAGCAGAGCTTCTTAAACTATGGGTCGCGACCCCATTTGGGGTCGCTTAGCGAAATCTTGGGGTCGCGAGATTTTAATGCAAAATATTGAAAATAGTTTGTGAGAGTTTGAAAATGGCATACTTTGTGTCATAAGTTTCGTGAGTTGCGCTTTGTGTCACTTCTGGTGCAGCGAGACAATGGTTCAGCAAACTGATTGTAGCGTGAACTAGTGTAGTGTTGTCGCTTTTCAGTGTATTCAGTTGTCCCTGTTCCATTGTAACACAAGAGTGAACTGTGATAGTACATCATTATTGTTTTTGCAAATTTGTATACGAGGTCTGTTCAAAAAGTATCGGACTTTTATTTTTTTCGCGTAAACCAATGATGTGCGGGAGGCCTCTTTCGGTGGAGTTGTGGAGGGGACAGTCATGCACAGCCCTGAATTTTTTCCCGCCTGCAGGAAGCGTCAGTCGTTGGCAGTCGGCCTGTGAGTGAGGTCATGTAGCGAGCTCTCGTCGGATTCCACTAAGTTGGAAAATGACTGAACAACGTGAGCAGCGATATTACATCAAATTTTGCCAAAAACCTTGGCGATACCCGAGTGTAAACCATTCGCAAGATTCAGCAGGCTTTCGGGGACGATCCTCGAGGCCAAAAAAGCGCGGCAGGCCCACAGAAATATCAAGGTCATGTTGACAGTTTTCTTTTTTTACTCTCGTGGGGTAGTGTATCGTGAGTACGCACCACGAGGCCAAACCGTCGCAAAGGAGTACTACCAGGAGGTCCTTCGTCGTCTTTCCGATGCTGTGCGACGCAAACGACCGGATCTGTGGTCGATCAAAACTTGGCAGCTCCATCGTGATAACGCATCTGATTCGGGCTTTCGTCGCCAAACACAACACAACCAAGGAGACTACTTTGAAGGGAATTAGGGTTTTGACCTCAAAATCAATAAATTTATTTTTGCCGACCAAAGGTCCGATACTTTTTGAGCAGGCCTCGTATATCTTTATTTTATATTTTTTTTTGGGTCGCGAAAAAAATCACAATCATAAATGGGGTCGTGAATTAAAAAAGTTTAAGAAGCCCTGCATTAGAGCTATACAAGGGTGACTTTACTTAGGAGGGTGCTATATCGAGGTTTGACTGTATATATAAATTATAGTTTTTGTATTGTGTTGGATGTAAATGTAACTTTGTTAATTCTAGTTTATAATGAAGGAAGTTTAATTAGTTATTTACCTACAAAAATATACTGTTACATTTCATTTGTAACGAATGTAAAATACAGTAATTTAATGACAAAGAAAACGATTCTGAAGCTGAGAATGAGAAGTTAACATGTGATGTTATAAGGAAGGAAAACATTGGAAATGCTCTGATAAGAGACACAATGCAAGTGCCAAGATTCTCGATGAAGGTTGGAAAGTTAAGACGAAAGGGTAATGTTTACGTCACGAGAAGCATGTATACGTGGGAAGAAGAATGTTAGAATTTGCAATACTAGGGAAGGGAAGACAAAAGATTGTATAGCAGAGAAAATGAAGGAGTATGGACTGAACGAGATAGTAAAGAACAGAATTGAAAATCCATTTAAAGTGAGGTTAATAATAAATTGAATTGATCAGATGAAGCAACGCAACACTTAAGCGATTTGTCTTTCGGGAGAACTTTCTATGGAAAATAACCCAGAAAATTTAACGTGGTTATTCTATTCCTCAAACCATCAGTGTTAATAATTGACTACAGGCAGGGGTAAAGCTACAGGAGGGTTTGAAGGGAGTCTCGATCCTCCAATTTCGTCAAATTTCGCTGAATAGGCGGCAAAATCACGCCGCCAAAAATAAACCGTAATAATATTTTTTCCCGGAATTCATAGAAATACAGAAGTATTAAGAAGAAGTAAAAGGAATGAGAGTCAGCCTTCTTGATTGGCACTTTATACGAACTATCGAACTTTATATGAACCATATATACTAATCGGAAAAAATCAACCTCTATGCCCCAATCTCCTCAATGATGAATGTCTAAAATGACCCCCATGAAGAGCTATTTAGGCTAAACTTTTGTTTAAATAGTTCTTCATGAAACTATTCGAAAGATTATTTTGACACAATTTTAATTTTTATTTATTATAATAAACACCATTAGTTGCATTATTGTTACAGTGGAACTTGCTTAACTCGAATTCGCTTTTACTTAAACGCATAGGGTTTTATATATTAAATCCAACAATACACTGAATATTGAATTCTGCTGCGTAGCGATGATAGCAGGAGAAGGACTATCTGAGTAACTCGAAGATACACTATTTGATCCCGAGCATTACCAATTAACCAAGTTTCATTGTACACATATGGGTAGAACGGTTAGTATTGTTTAATATATACCTAATATTATTAATTAAATTTTCAATATTTTTACAGGCTTATCGCACGTTTCCTCTGATATCTCCTCATGCAAAACCACGTCATGATCTTCCCACAGGATCCTATCTTCGACATGTACAAGATCCAAATTGGAGACAATCTCCTACCAGAGCACCACAAGTGAATCGGGTGATTATACTACATAAATTATCCCCCTAAAATATCTTACTACTGAAAACTATTCTAAAATTTCCTACATTTTCAGGTGGTAATGCAGACTCCTTCCCAAGGTCCTCAAGTGGTTCATAGTCAATATAACTCACCTATCAATTTATATTCTAATCAAAATGTAGCCGAAACTTATGCAGAACAGACTGGAATGCAGCCGTAAGTACTGAATTGAGGTAAAATCCAGGTTGGGTATATGATATCAGGGTCTTTCATGCTTTCAATTAACAAAATAACTTGATTTCGATGCCTGTAGGCGCCACACTGAGCCTTTAGATATAACATTTAAATGGTAGATATATCTTTCAATAGATGACCCTGATCATACCCGTATGCCTGGTAACTTTTGGTAGATAGGATTAGCCGTCTATTACTAATCTCTCCCATTTCCTACTAATTATATTAGTCCCTTACTAAAATGATAATTTTAAGTAAATTTTTAATTTAAATGATTAAAGTAGAATTTTTAATTAGTTTATAAAATTTTTACGATATAGAATTTCCTTCCTCCTTAAGTGTTCAGCATCTCCAACTTGTGTTAAGTTCATTTATGAAAATTAGAGTAATTAACATTGAAAGAAGTTTTCGAACTTTTTCTATTGTAAACCCATAAGATGCAGTTGCTGAACGCTTTCAATTTTTCATCCTGATTAGGGATTTAGCTAGCTTATAGTTTAATTTTTGATATAATCACCAAAGAGCTAGTACCACTCACCTGACATGAAGTATCTTCATCGATCTTTCTTTCCTAAAATCCAAAAAGTAGGGGAACCATGCGCCCGGCCGCTAAGAAATTCACTACTCAACAATCTCAAACGTCCTCGCCAGCGGCCAAAGGAGGCGAAAAAATGTCGAGTATCGTCGACATCACCAAATCGCCCACCTACCAAATGATTCAGGAGCAGGAAAGTAAGATGTCTCCCAAACCGGAAGTGGATGAAGCACCACGCTCTACACCCCAGAAGCGCATGTACATTCATCCCATCCAGTGCAACGAGGATCACAGCTTGAACGCTTTCGGCGTGCCACGTGATAAAATTCTTCAATCTGGTAGTTTCAAGTCTTTGATGACCATCATCAACACTCAATCCGATTTCTGAACCTATCTGCCCAGCTTAACAGCATCATTTGCCATGGTTAACTCCTGCAGGAGGTTTGGATAAGCTCATTGCTTTCACGAAATTTCGAGTTCGACGACAATTTTTGCGACATTTTTGGATTACGTACGTTTAAACGCTTCAGGGTTTTCGGGCAAATTTTCAATATTATCAATTATAATTTATGTTTTATGACATACGAACTGTTTGTGTTGAAAACTTTTGAATCAACGATTGCTTATTTTGTCTTAATATTTTTAGTGAAGTACGAATAACGCTTTCGGCTTAAACGACGATTTCATGTAAGAAGTTTTGTCAAAAAATAACTGCAACTTTTACGAATAAGCAGCAATATTTTAGATGATACCAAGCATTGCAGTGTTCTGTTAATGTATATGAAGTTCGTTTAACAGGACTTAATAAAACTTCTTCCAAAAATGCATTCGCCTCTTGTTGAAATAAGTATTCATTGCTTACATACAGTAGAAATCGTGCCTTTTCTCAAACGTCATCATCCTGTCAGCAAAGTCATAACCCATAGAACAGAATCAACAAAGATGTCATCACCCTGAAAAAAAAAATTTGAGAAAAGCAATGTTGAAATCTTATTTATATAAAATTGAAAATATCTTCTAAATAATCATTATTTTTGGATGTTTTTCAGACAAACTTCAGTTTCAACCTAAAAATATTTGTAGTTAGAAACTAAACACAAATAATTTAGAGTCTTCACAAATGCATCTTTTTATACCCCAGAAACATAAAATAACATGGAAATCACACTAAAGATTACTTCTTTAGTGTGATTTCTTTAGTGTAATTTCCATGATATAGTGAAATCACACTAAAGATTACTTCTTTAGTGTGATTTTATATTTCTTTGGTATAAAAAAAAAAAAGATGGAACTTGTGTTCGTCTCCTAACTACTATACATATATACAGTATATATTAAATTTCCGTTCTGATCTATTATTAATACAGTAGACCCCACTATAACACTGTAGATAATTCCGTGTTATATGAATTCCATGTTGTACGAGTCATTTCGATTTTACAAATGCGTAAGCCGTTCACAGCCTGGCACAAGTATTTGTAAAATCTAAGTGATTAGTACAACAGTGTTTAGGAATTATCTACAGTGTTATAGGGGGGTCTACTGTATTAGAAGCTTAAAAATTAGACTTTAATTCTTATTTTTAATAAATATTTTTTAAAATCTTTTGAGTAATTCATTGCTACAGATATGCACAAATGCTCATTGATAGTAACAACAAATTATAATCGTACGCAATTCCAGTAGTGGGAGAGGGAAATGCCCCATTTTCCCCCCCACTGCGTATGCTCCTGATGCTGAAATATTGAGCCGGATTAAAGCTTTTGTCGATCAATATATTCTTCTATATTCTTGTAGGCCTGTAAGAGAAATAAGAAAATGTAAGTTACCTCAATAACAAGTAAAATAATTTTCTTATTTCGAATCTAAAAATATTTTCTGAGAAGTAAATATAAATTCTTCAGTTAAAAGAAAGAAGAAATTATGAAGTTTTCTATTTTTCTTTTCGGTTACATCAAAGAAAATTCATATTTATACAATTTTAGAACGGTAAGTACAAGATGCCAACATTAAATTAAGCATTTTAACTGGAAAAATAAGAAAAAAAAAAAAAAAAAAAGTTGTAAAAACCAGAAGCTATTGACGTCAGCAAAACAAAACACATTTGAAAGAGAGAGAGAGAGAGAGAGAAGGAAAAAATATTTGCTTATTAGATAAATTCTTGGCCCATCTATCAAACTTATGTCGTTTCGTTTCCGTAATGTAATACATCGAAAGAGGACAAGAAGTCGTCGAGACGAAGAGTTGTCTACTCCCAAAATTCACTATTTTCGTCTTGAATCTTTAAATAGTCTTTAAATAATTTACTAAAGGGAGCTCTGTAATAATTTTTTTTCCAAAAATTATTGTGTTAAAGTTAATGTTTTCAACCAAGGAGTCGTGATGTATAGACAAGGGATTGAAATTTTGTGATGTGTCTCGACGTTGGAAGAATACTACACAGAGTTTTGACAATTACAGAATGCTTTTTTTTTCCATAATTAATTCGTTATAAGTATAAATTTTGACAACAAAGTAAATTTATAAGGTATTTTATGGTAACATCATGTGTCAAAGACTTAGATGTCGATTAATAATATAATAAGTATAAGAAAAAGGAAGACATTTCTACAAGGTTTCATACGAGTCATTTCTTTAGAAACAGTCGTAGAAGTGAGGTTGAAACAGCTATTATGGCGTAATCATTACTTCAGAAAATGCGATAAAAAAACGATAAAAAATTCATTAAATTACCGTAGAAGATAAGGAAAAGTTTAAATTATAATAATTTACAGAAAATTTATAGATTAGGTTTAAACAAATTTCGTTTCGTTAAGAAATTATGAGTGAAAAAAACAAGAAAATGGCGATGTTTTTTAATACTATAACAATAAGAGTAACATAACTAAAATGAATCGATGAGAACAACTATTAACTTCTTAAATTAATAACTGAAATGAGTCGGGTAGAGGTATGATGGTATCACACTGAGTCACTGTTGATCAATTACTGTCGGCCGTTGAACACAATGTTCATCTCCTTCAGATTTTATACTGTCAGAATGGAGACTACAATCGAATAGTATTACCTGCATCGCTAAGGTTTGTGTATAACGTGAATGTCTTCCAAGTGTAAAGACTACAACAGATCAGTTTAATAGTAGTAATAACGTTAGATATATTTACCTTCGAAGATTAAAAGTCTAAAAACTTTCAAAAAAGTAACAAAAATAGTGAAATTTCAAAACTTTCTTCCCTCGCTAACTGTTGTGAAGCGGTCGCTCGACAACGGCTCGACTACGGATGATGTATATCCGGTGGCTAAACGGGTTGTATGAGGTAACCTTATATTCTAGGACCTTGGGTGGATGCTACACACCATAACGCTTCCAATGATTCTATCCAGGCCCGACAGGGCGAAGAAAGAACGTCATTTAAATGTTACAGATTATCGGAGAAACTTTTAAAGATTAGCTATGATATACTTAATATACTTAAAATCTTTATTATCTTCTTGAAACCGTGTCGTGTTTTATTTCTATTGTTTATCCAACACAATGTAGTGCAACTTAACGATCACTTGGCTTTCTTTCACCTTTATTTTAGTTGATATACTTAAAATCGCTAATCAAGAGAACAGAGAGTGCATTATTAACACACAAAAGGCTGTTTTAAACAAACTAAATGTTATTGAAAACAATACAATTCGGAATGTATTTCTCCTGCACCTCTCTATAACACGATCGTTAAGACAAGCAAATCTACAGGAGGTAATCGTGCCAAACTAAAACCATTTCCCTCGAGAGAGGTTTTGTTAGGTGAGAGATTAGAACTTAAATTACTTCTCTATAATATTGGTGTCAGGTGGCCGATATCAGGAATAATAGTGAAATATATTCTTCCTTTAAAAGACTTGCTGAAAGAATCAATTTTGTTACCTTCCAAACTATAAACAGTTAGATTATCACTGTTTTCGACATAATAAATGCCCGCTCTATGTGTTTCGCTTGTGATCTGTGCCATGTTTTCAGCGGATTCAACAGAAAATCAACCTCGTCACCCACTGAACTTTTTACAGTTGGGTTGTTATAGACTTGGACACTTGTTATGTCCATTACTTCATTAACAGTTGCTGAACATCTGGACTATTAGTGATTGTGTGTTGTGCTCTCAAAAGACTTGCCACAAAAGTTCAACTTTCCCCCGCCAAACTATTAACTGTTGGGCTGAGAGACTAGGGGACAGGCTTATTAATTCACTTTACAGAAAATTGTAGGACTTTTTTGGCAAATAAGTAAACTGTATTGTACAGTAATTCCAAAACAGACCCTCCAAGAAGACCAATCTCAACACCCACTGGACTTTAGTTGGTTAATATGGACTTATGCAATGTTCCGTCTGTTTGATTTGTTACTTATTTTTAATTACATTAATTTTATTTAAAATAATCTATTTGTTCGCTAGTTAGTTAACTAAGATAAGCTTATTATATATTGTTAAGTGTATTATATGCATGAAAATAATATATTCTACTGTACATATGAAAATTTCTGTAAACATATGACATATTCTGTAAATTCACTATACCTGTACTTATTTATGGACAATTATATCTACACGCGCAACAAACGTGTCGCGTGGTTTATTCTTTATTATAATAATTGATAGTTAAACATTACTACTAATATATACTATAATATTATATTCTAATATACTATCTTATATATAATCGAGACGGGTTGATGATAATGATAATAATAATAAGCGCAGAGCCCAAACGGTTAGGAGTTGAAAGTTGAAATTTGGTACACAGTTAGGGTACGTTAGGAGAACGCACACTAAGAAGGGATTTTTCGAAATTCCTCCCCACGGGGGAGAGGGACAGGATTAAGGCTTAACACTTCCATCAACAATGGAAGTGTTAAGTAACAATGGAAGTGCTAAGTAACAATGGAAGTGTTAAGTAACAATGGAAGTGTTAAGTAACAATGGAAGTTTTAAGTAACAATGGAAGTGTCAACAATGGAAATGTTACGTAACAATGGAATTGTTAAGAGAAAGCGACGTGCAAGACGCAGATGCAGTTTTTTTCGTTTTTGCGGGAAATCGAACATATTTTTAGACCCATCTAAAAATTCTCTAATTAGTCTGGAAACAAGGGGACCCAATTCTTGCCTTCTGTGAAAACGGGTAAGGTTGACTGTAACGTAATAATCTTTTATCTTAGTTATCGTTACTTTTGCCCGAGCAACGCCGGGCCCACCTGCTAGTAATATTATATTCTAATAATATTATTATATATTGTTCTGTACATACAAAAATTTTCCGTAAACTATGTAAAAAATGGAAACACACGACTCCATGTTACACGCTAGCTCCTATTGAATCTGCTATTTCATTATGTATGTTACTCCATTTTTTTCTAACAATCTATTATATAATATATCACCTTATATATGTGATACTTTATCATACTCACTGCTATTTAATGTTTTGTGTACTCAATTTTCATTGTAAATTTTATCATTAGAGAGGTTGCGGCCGACGTTTTCATCGCGAAAACGTGTACGTCGGACGTTTCAGCGCCGCCTTCCTGAAAGCCTAGAAGTTTGACAATGGCGTTTGGAACGTCAGCGGAATCATGCTCGATGTATTTATGAATTATGTAAAAAGCGGTCACTAAACGGTACGGTTCGCTACGCAGCTCGTTCGAAACGAAAATTATTTTCTCACCCGGATTCGATACCCGGTCTTCAGAGTCATAGGCCGATGTATTAACCGCTGTGGTATCACCAAAGATTATTAATTAATACCTTTTTTATAAAGTGAAACCGTATCCTTGAACTCTT